GCTATTGTTTTACAGGGGTTTTTATAACTTTGGAGGGTTTTACAATTTGCACCAATTACCAAGGGAATTCTACTTTCTGACCAATCCCCGAGGGATTTTACATTCAAAGCTGGCCCGTGGATACTAAAAGAAAACGAACCACTGATATTGAAGATAGATAAGAGGGTCTTCCAAAGGGGGGGAAGCTAAATTCCTTTTGTATTCGTCATTTCACAAGCCATTTCTCATCTCTAAGCTGTGATTTTTCCAAGGAGCCTGTTCTGAGGGCGCAGGGAAACTTTCTCCTGTGTTTTCTGCTCCCTCCACACACGCTCACCGGGGCTTTGTCCGGCAGGGCCGGAGGTGCCTGGGCTGGAGGAGGAGGTGCGGCTGATGGCGCTGCCCGAGGACTCGGAGGAGTTCACTGACACGGTGCAGCATTTCCGCGGGACGCTGGAGGAGCTGCACAGCCACATCAGCGTCGTGCAGGTGGGTCCGGGCACCTGGGAACCGCCAGGGCGTGCCCGTGGCACGGCGGTGACCCAGCGGTGCCCGGCAGGTGCAGAAGCTGATCCACCCGGTGCTGTACAAGCAGTACCAGCTGAAGAAGGGCAGCGTGAAGCGCGCTTGTGCCGCCGGCACCGCCGTGGAGCGAATCCTCTTCCACGGCACCACCAAAGCGTCCAGCCGAGAGATCTGCCTGCACGGCTTCAACCGCAGCTTCTGCGGCAAGAACGGTGAGCGCCGGGCACGTGTGGGCTGTGCGCTGTGGGAACGGGGTGTGCCAGGGAGCCGTGGTGCCATCGGCATGGGAACGGTGCCATCGGCATGGGAATGGGGTGCCAAGGGGAGTGGGGTGTCATTGTAATGGGTGCGGGGTGCCGAGGGGAGCTGGTGTCATTGGCACGGGTGCGGGGTGTCAGTGGCATGGGTGCTGGGTGTCAGTGGCATGGGTGCTGGGTGTCATTGGCATGGGTGATGGGTGTCAGCGGCATGGGAATGGGGTGCCAAGGGGAGTGGGGTGTCATTGGAATGGGTGCTGGGTGCCATTGGCATGGGTGCGGGGTGTCATTGGCATGGGTGCGGGGTGTCATTGGCATGGGTGCTGGGTGTCAGTGGCATGGGTGCGGGGTGCCAAGGGGAGTGGGGTGTCGGTGGCATGGGTACAGGGTGCTGGCAGCATGGGAACAGGGCACTGAGTGCCCTTGGTGTGGGTAGGGGGTGGTGAGGAGGGCACAGCGCCGTCAGCACAGGAATTGGGTGATCGTGGGTGCATGGGAAAGGTGTGCCAAGGTGGGTGCAATGCCATCAGCACAGGAGTGGGGTGCCAAGGCGGGCTCGGTGCCCTCGGTGTGGGAAGGGGGCGGTGAGGGTGGGCACTGCGCCATTTGCACGGCGCCCTCAGTGTGGAATGGGGCTCCGTTGTGGCCCCCCGGGGTGCCGAGGTGGCCCCGGGGTGCCCAGCTGATGCCCACCCCGCAGCCACCCTCTACGGGCTCGGCGTGTACTTCGCGGCGCGCGCGGCCATCTCGGCTCGGGACCGCTACTCCCCACCCAGCGCCAGCGGCACCAAATTCATCTTCATGGCCAAGGTGCTGACCGGGGAGTTCACGGCCGGGCGCCCGGGGCTGCGGGCACCCCCCCTGAGAGAGGAGTCTGGGGTCCCCCAGCGCTTCCACAGCGTCGTGGACGACCCCCGGCAACCCGAAATCTTCGTCATCTTCAACGACACCCAGGCCTACCCTCAGTACCTCATCACCTGCCGCAGCCGCCGCGGGGGTCCCCTCTGAGCTCCGAGGACCCCCTTTGATCCCCCCTTTGATCCCCCCTTTGATCCCCCCCTTTGATCCTCCTGGCACTGGCGCCATTGCGGGGGTCACGGTGCCCAGGGGCCCAAGGGGGCCCTGCCGGGTGTGCCAGGGAGGTTCCTGAGTGGGGGGGATCCTCACCTGGGGACACTCGTGGGCACCTTCGTGTCCCGGTAGGAGGTGGACAGGAGGGCTTGGGGTCAGCCGTGTGACACCAGTGAAATCTGGAATCAAACTGCAAATAAATTTGGAATAAATTTGGAATAATAAATTTGGAATAAATGGGAGACTTCTGCATGGCTGGGATTGAGGAAGGGGATGTTCCAGTCCCAACTGGGAGCACTGGGAACGGGGTGGATCGGGTGCCAGACCCAACTGGGGTCACTGGGATCGGGCAGGGACCTGGCTGTGTGTGGGTGCTGTGGCTGTGCTGGGTGCTGGCTCTGGGCCACCCCAGGGCTGGACCTGACCACTCCTGCTCCTCTGCCTCCTTCCTGCTCCCTGTATCTTCCTCCTTACCTGTATCCTCCTCTCTACCTGTATCCTGCTCCCTGCCTGCTCCACACCTGTTCCCACCTGGTCCCTCCCTCCTCCCTACCTGCATCCTCCTCCCCACCTGCTCCCTCCCTCCTCCCTGCCTGTTCCTTTGTCCCACTGCCCCCCAAGTTGCCCTGGAGGGGGGGGGGGGTACCCAGGTGCCCACCCTGTGTGTGCGGGCACAGCCCCACCGTGGGCAGTGCTGGGGGGCACCAGGTGAGACCCTCCAGCAGGCAGCGGTGGGGGCAGGGAGGGGTGCGCATCCTCCCGTGCTGCCCACTGACCTGCCCCAGGGCACAGGTGGGCAAGCAGGGGGCCAGCGGTGACACCCGCGCCCCTTTGGTGCCAGAGCGGGCACGGGTGTGACACCAGCGGCCCCGCGGGCGCGGGCGGCTCCAGGGCAGGGCTGGCGGTGGCGAGTGCCAGCCCCGCTGACGTGTGCCAGCCCCGCTGGGATCCCGGCGAGCGCCGTGCCAGCCGTGCCAGCCCCGCGCACGTGGCGCCAGCCCCGCTCCCCGCGGCCGGAGGTGAGAGCCCAGGGGGCCCAGGGGGTGCAGGAGGGGTCCTGGCCGCACGCCCACCCCCCTCGCCAGAGTCCGGTGCCCCGCGCCCCGCCGGTGCCCCGGGCGGGGAGTGCCCGGCGCCGCCGGTGCCAAGCGTGCCGGACCTTTGTCCCCTGACGCCGAGGGGCCCGCGGGGCCCAGCGCGGCTGAAAAGGGCTCTTTGTCCGGCTCTGGCCGGGGGATTCGCTCCCTGCACCCGTGCCGGCACCGGCACATGACCGCGGCGAGAGCGGCTGCGCCTGCACCGGATCCGCACGGACGGAGCGAGCGGCAGCCCCGGTACGGACGGGAACGAGCGGCAGCCCCGGTACGGACGGGAACGAGCGGCAGCCCCGGTACGGACGGGAGTTGGAGCCGAGGGGGGTCAGAGCTTTAGCCGCGGTCACGGCAGGTGGCACGGTGGGCACCGAGTGTCCTGGGGCCAGGCTCTCGGTGGTCTTTGCGCCCCGCGGGGTGGGTGCGGTTCCGCTGGGGTCGCCCGGGTCGGTTTGGCACGCGATGGCCCCGATGAGGCTCACGGTGGGGCTGGGTTTGGGGGGGGCCCCGCCGTGTGATGCCAGGCCAGCAGTGGGATGTGGCGGGGGGCACCGGGAGCCTTTGAAGCCCCCGAGACCCCCGCCGTGGGTGTGTGCGTGTCGGCACTCAGGTGTGCACACGCGCGGGGGAGCTGCGCACACGCCAGGTACCAGTACCGGTACCGGCTTTGGTTCCTGGCAGCGGCTCTGGCTCCCACTGGCTCCAGCTCCTGTTCCTGGTACCAGCTCCGGTTCTGGGCAGCAGCTCCGGTTCTGGGCACCGGGTCTGGATCAAGGCACCGGCTCCCGTTCCCGGCACTGGTCCCCGGCACCAGCCTCAGTTCCCGGCCCTGACTCCAGTCCCCAGCCCCACGGGGGATCCCTGGATCTCTCCCTGGATCCTCATCCTCCCCAGCCCCACGGGGGATCCGGGGATCCCAGCGCAGTGCTGGTGGCTGCAGCCGTGCTCTGTTCTCCTCCCAGAACAGAGGCTGGTGGCCCGGCAGGGTGAGAGCACCACGCCGGAGCCGTACCAGAGCCGTGCCAGAGCCGTGCCAGAGCCGTACCAGAGCCGTGCCAGAGCCGTGCCAGAACCGTGCCAGGGCCGAGCTGGGGGTCTCTTCTCATCCCTTCGCCCCCGCGCTCCCCTGGGGCTCTGAAAGCGGCAGCCGGGGGTGGCCCGTGCC